CCCTTCTCCTCCATTCTCCTCTCGGGATCTTGGGCACGCATGCACACGTGCCGGGCGTGAGTTTTAAGCCACCAGGTCCGGGACACGAACCGCGGTCGACTACATGGGAGTCCAGTGACATAGCCATGACGCTAACTGCTGGTTCCCTTAGATTCTGTTTCTTGTTGTTAGTGTTTAATGATTTTTTTTTTAAGGTTTTTGCCATAGGGCGTATGCACTCACCAGAGAGAGATGGAAAGAAACAGTGAGAGGGAAAGTGAGAAATTCACCCCCTCCAGCCCTGCCCAGGGGGGATGGCCAAGCCATAACCCCTTCTCTGTTCTTCTGGGAATTTGGGCATGAATGCAGTTGCATTGAAGTTGCCACATCCAGGACTCAGTCAGCTATGTGAGAGTCCAGCCCTGTAAACATCAAACCACATGCTGGACCTGGTTTATTTTCTTTTAATTTACATTTAATCACTGTACATCTTTACAGTGTACAACATGATTTTTCCCAGTATGAATCCAGAGCATATTAGTCAAATCAAAGACATTACCATATACGTTATCATCAACAGGTAACTCTTAATTTTTGTGTCTATTAAATGTTATGTGGTTTTTTTTTTGATCCCCTCTCTCCTATCCCCTATTACCCAGCCTCTCCTATTCTGTCTCTAATATCTAAAGTTGTACCCCCTCACACACACCACTGTTGTATCTTCCAGTCTTTCAATTTCTGATATAGAGTGTAGACGTTTGGTATATATTATTCAGCAACATATAGTCTCTGTCTCTCATAGTCTGACTTGCTTTGCTTGGCATTAAATCTTCATATTCACACATACAGGTGTATTTTTCAAGCTGCTGGGTCCAGGACTCGAACTGTGTTGTTGGCCATGTGGTATCCAGCTGCCTTAATTACTAGCTACTGATAGCCTACATTCTGCATTTTTAATAGGCACTGTTGGACCAGCCAGTGAATGCTGGTTAAGGCAGCTGGATCCTACATGGCCACCAGTACCTTTCAAGTCTGGTGCATATGCCCATGTGCCCAAAATCCCCAATGGAGAAATGGAGAAGGGATTGTGGCATGACTATATTCTATAAAGGGAGGGGAGGTCTCATAATTATCACACTCTCTGTTTCCAGCAAGCATACACGACCTCTGGCAAATTTAAGGAAAATAATAATAACAAAATAGGCACTATTTCCTAGGTAAATTTTATGTTCAGATGTTTCGGACAATACATTTTACTATAATTAATCTAGCATGGGGTATTTCAACAGCAGTTGTACTACTATTTCAGTCTAAGAATTCTGTGCTGTGAGGTCTACCCTGAATGTTTTAGAATGTATACATTCCTAACTCTACCAATACGAGACCTCTGGCCCACCCATCCCTCATTTCTGACAACCAAAATGTCTTCAGACATCATCAGGACACTCCCTCTGCCCCAATTGAGACCCACTCTTCTAGGTCTATCAAATAAATGTCCAATCTTATTTAAATTATATTATATAGATATATATACACATACACATATCTCAACAGCACTATACTAAATTTCTTTAAATATGACTTTTTAAATTCTTGCTCTTAATAAAGATTCATGACATGAAAATACTTTGCCTTCAAAATCTAATTCTATTTAGTTTTATTAGAATTCTTATTTTCTTTGTCAAAGATCATCCCTTTATGTTTCTATTAATAGGTTAAAATAAAAGAGACTGTAAGAGGTCTTTCAGGGTTTGAAAATATTCTATTACCGTGTGTATCATATATTTTTCATAAAGGATCATTTCAATCCAATTATCCAAAACTTAGCGTAAAATTATGCTACAGCTGCAGAGACAAAAACAATTTAAAATAATGAGCCCAAAGGCTATTCTGACTTCTCTAGATCCCCAGTCTTCATTAGAATGTGACATACATTTATTTTCTTCTAAAGAGAACTATAATGAAAGTAGTATTTACTAGATAATGCACTGGTCTTTATCTCATTTCTACTTAGCTTAGAAATTATTGCCCTGACAACAAAATATTTTGCAATAGCAAGATTTATCTGTATTTTAAATTTCTGATCAAGTTACAATGAAACAATCATCAATCTGTTTTCACTTTAGAAAGATTCTTATTTAGATTTCTCAAATTCTGCAAAAATGTTAAATTACAGTATTTTCAAAACTGATTAAGGACCTATAATAATTTATTTTGAATGTATAATTTCTTTGTTTTTCTAAAAGGAAAAAAAAAAAGGCCTCCAAGCTCCCCAAACTAGGTTTCTTAGTAGTGTTAATTAAATAACCAAATTTTTCTAAATTCAGATTTTGCCAATATGACCAAAATGTGTCAACTGTTTATATGAACATCTGTGTGTGATGCTGATGAAACATTATTAGAATAAAGAGATATGGCATTATAATTTGGGACATCAGAATATGTACCTGCAATGTATCAAATACGTCTGTATGTTATTTGTAGTGATGCTCTTCCTCACATCAAATTTAACTGATTCATTTATTTTCCATAACTGTTCATAGAGATTTCACTTACCACTGGATTTTTAAAGAATTCATATTTGGCGTAATTCTTTCTAAAGTATAGCTTATTTTCTTCTTCCATTCCCCAGTTAGAGAGCACTTCAAGCACCAGCTCGTGGTCTTCTATTGTTCTTTCTGCAAATAGTATTTCAGTGAGTATGTCTACAGATAAACAGACAGATGTATACATATGCATACCACTCACATGCACATATACATAACCATAGAAATATGTACAAAATGTTGTATCTATCTTTATTGAACATAGAAAATTTCACCTCAATTTCGAAATAACCAGACTGAAAAAATCTTCAATTAATAATGTTGATTTTTATACCAAAGCAGACTGTCATTTGCTAGAGAAATTACACACACAAAAAAATCACTATCCACTTTCTGCTAATTCTCAATCTCCTTTCATTTCTATGTACATTGTCCTTTTTTTTTAGAGGTTTTTGCTAATAGGGCACGTGTGCTTGCCAGAAAGACAGAGAAAGACAGAAAGACAGAAAACGAAAAATCACTCCCAGGGGGAATGGCCATGCCGCAATCCCCTCTCCTCCATTCTCTTGAGATCTTGGGCATGCACGCACACATGCCCAGTGTGAGTTTAAGCCACCGGGTCCGGGACTCGAACCACAGTTGACTACATGGGAGTCCAGCGACATAGCCATTACGCTAACTGCTGATCCCTAAATTGTCAATTTAGTACAAATCTGCCCTAGGTACATGAGAGCTATTCTTTCTCTATAGCTCATCATAGAACCAAATTTAAAAATTTGTTTCAAGTTTTAACAATTCACTTCATTAAGAGACGAAGAATTCTGACAAGATCAATATGCATGTAAGACACATAATCTGGATAGTTAAGAAAAATTCAGATAGATGCTTTCAAAAGAAAAGTTTAATGCAAGTAGATACAGGAAGCCCAATTCCTCAAGGCACTTCTACCTGTTTTTTTTTTTTTTGGGGGGGGAGAGGTTTTTGCTAAAGGGTGTGTGCGCTCACCAGAAAGACACAGAGAGACAGAGAAACATAAAGTGAGAGATCAGACCCCAGAGGGGATGGCCACGCTGCAATCGCTTCTCCTCCATTTCCCTCTCAGGATCTTGGGCACATGTGCACACGCACCTGGCGTGAGTTTAAGCTACCGAGGCCAGGACTCAAACAGCAGTCGACTATATGGGAGTCCAACAACATAGCCATTACACCAACTGCTGGTCCTGGCACTTCTACTTTTAAAACTTACACTATGGAAAATACATTGTGTATTAACAACAAAGATAACTAGGTAGGGTGGGAAGGCATTTAGAGGGATGGCAGGGGGCATGGTGGCTAAGGGCACGGGACTCCTACATATCTAACTGTGGTTTGAGTCCCAGACCTGACAGCTTGTTTTCTCACTTCCCCTCTCTGTCTCTTTCTCCTGTGTCCCTCTCTGGTAAAATTTGAATAAATAAATAAAGTTAAATATAATAATTATTTAAAAGAAAAGGTACTTAATCAAGGAAGCAATGACAATTTAAAAGAGGTAAACATAGGGGGCCAGCAGATGGCGTAGTAGTTATATCGCTGGACTCCCACATGGTTAACCACAGTTTAAGTCCCTTACCCAGTGGCTTGAAACTCATGTGGGGTGAGTGTGCATATGTGACCAAGACCCCAGGAGGAGAATGGAGGAGAAGGGACTGTGCTGTGGCCGTCCCCCACCCGGGGTGCTGATTTCTCACTTTCCTTCCCACTGTCTCTGTCTGTCTCTCTCTGGCAAGTGCACGTGCCCCAAGCCAAAAACATCTGAAAGAAAAAAAGAAAAAGTGACCATAACATGCAACATTCCTGGAGCCAGCAGGTGGTGTGGTGGTTAAAGGCGCTGGATTCCCACATGGCCGATCGTGGTTTGAGTCCTGGACCTGGCGACTTGCTTTCTCTCTCTCTCTCTCTTTCACTCTGTCACTTTCTGGTCAAATTAAAATAAAAAGAAAAGAATAAATAAATAAATAAAGTTAAATAAAATAATTCTTTTAAAAAAATGCAACATTCCTGTTTTAATAAGGAAACTCTGATGCTATTCATAGTAGTACAGTTCTTAATCACTGCAAACTGAAAACTGTCCAAATGTCTCTTGACATGAGAATAAATACATGGTTAAAAGCACATAGTAGAATACACACTGTAATGACCCATAATACTATGAAGGAACTTCACAAACATACTATTAAGCATAAGAAGTGCTACGCAGATAAATAGTACAGTTGGCTCCACTTACATAGGCTCAAAAAGAGTAATTAATATGTGTTGGTAGAAATGAAGATGATGGATCCTGGGTATACAACATCTGAGAATTCATGGGGTTGTTTGTGCATGTTTTGTATACTTAATGTATGTCATACTTGAATAATAGAAGGTTGGGTAAAAACAACTAAATTACTGATGCAAACAAATTAAAGAACAGTCAAACAAAGAATATGGGGAGGCGGGGTCTTCCAAAAGTTCATGGAAATGCATATTATGAAACAACTGCAAGGGATTCCAAAACGTTCTGTGTCAAAATAAACTCATACTTTAATTCCATTTTTCCACACACTCATATAAAAATTCTCTGCTTTTTTAGTATTTCTAGGACTTTTGAAAAAATATCTGTGTCTCAGAATTTCAACTCAATAGTGATCTGTGACCTACAACACCCGAACCCTTGAAAGTAATGTCAAACTTAAATAGAAGCTTATTCATCTGAAAGAGAGTTCTCGAAAGAGTGCTTGATGAATATGGATGAGTCTGTGCTAAGTGTGTATCAATGCACTCAGGGTTCTCTACCTAACCGATTGCTCTTTTCTGTCTCACCGACTGGCTCCCCTAGCTCCTTTCTCTCCAAAGACTCAGTCCTTGATTCAACTCTTTTCTTTCTCCCTTTGCAAACAAATTTACTCTTCCCTCTTCAACATCACATCCGTTGGGTTCCTTGAAGTAAAACCTCTGGCTACAATTGCTCTTGTTCATGCTTGAGTCCAAACTAGTAGACACTCCAACACCTCAAGAACAATTTGTCTAAAGCCAAAGTCAGTATGGCAGTTCCTCAAAATAATAAGTTAAACAAAATATTAAGTTAAACATTAAGTCATCATGTGATCTAGCAATTCTGCTTCTATTTTTTCAAAATAAGTGAAAACAGGGACTCAAAAAGATAAAGTTCACAGCAGAATAATTTACAAGAACTGAAAGGTGCAAACAGAATGCCCATGAGCAGATAAACAAATGTACACTATACATACAATGGAATAGTGAACTTTAAAAAGGAATGAAATTCTGATACATACTGCAACATGGATGAACCTTGAAGACATGATTGTAAGTAAAATAAGACAGACACAAAAGGACAGACACTGTATGGTTCTACTTACACAGGGCACTTAGACTATTCAAATTCACAGAGACATAATGTAGAATGTGGTTGCCAGGGACTGCAGGGGAGGAGGCAAGGGGTTGTTATTGTTTGACACCAAGACTCAGAATAGGAAGACACAAATTTCTATATACAGATGGTCATAATGGATGCAGAATAATGTGTATGTACATGCCACTGTACATATACAATGGTTAAAATGGTAAATTTCATATGTACATTTTACCAAAAAGTAAAAAACAAAATACTTTATTTTTTTTCTTTTTTTGGAGAGGTTTTTTGCAATAGGGAGCATGCACTTGCCAGAAAGACAGAGAGAGATAGAGAGACAGAAAGAGAGAAATCACCCCCCCCCCAAGGGAGACGACCATGCCGCAATCCCTTCTCCTCCATCCTCCTCTCGGGATCTTGGACATGCACGCACATGTGCCCAACGTGAGTTTAAGCCACCAGGTCCAGGACTCAAACCGTGGTTGGCTACATGGGAGTTCAGTGACATAGCCATTACGCTAACTGCTGGTTCCACGAAATACTATAAAACAGAAGAAAGTCATCTTTCTTCTTTCATCTTGAATGGTGTTTTCTTCCTAAATTCTCCTGTTTTCATTTCTGCTATTGTCATTTTTAAAAAATTTTCTCCAGGAAATATAGAAATATAAACTGTCTGGTTTCTTTCTTAATCTCCACTTAAATATGCTTTTTCTATCCATAGATATTGGGACTCCTCCACATGCCTCACACAACCAACAAGACTCATACATTGCCACTGTCACCAATCCAACTTAGACTTTTACATTTTTTTGGTCCAGACTTCTAAATAGTCTCAAAATCTCTACTTTCTCATTCTCCCAGTCCAATCTGGACTCTAATATTACACCTAATTCCCTAAGACATCTGTATCAACGGGATCTCTGCTCAAAATGCTTGTCTACTTTACTTATTATGAGCTCAATTCATGTAGTCTACCACTTACAACCTATCCAGCCATCCATTCAAAAAGTATTAATTGCAGGCCTTCAGTGGGTCAGACACTCATCTAGGGGCTGGGAATTGTGTAGTCAACAGGACAGTAAAAATAACCACCCTTGTGGAGTTTTCATTCTTATGGGAAGACAGACCATAAATAAAATGTGAATCTTAAAAGCTGGTAATAAACCGCACAGGGAAAAATAAATCAGAGAGGGGAGAAAAGTGCTTAGGACACAGGAAAAAGAAAACCATCTCCAATATCTTACTGGGAAAGGCTTCAATGTAAAGGTAATGTTTGAACAAGACCTAAAGGAGAAGCAGACATGAGCCAAGCAGGTATTTAGAAAAAAAGAGCAAGAACAAAGCCCTTGGTGCAAGAGAAAGGCTGGTATGTTTGACGCACAGCAAGGAAGTGAATGTGACTACCCCTGAGTAAGTCATCATGAGAGGACCAGGATATTTAGAAAAGTAATGTGATAAAATAGGGGTCTGTATAGTAAAGATGGGGTTTTTCCTCTGTGTTAGATGAGAATTCCTAAGAACTGGCATGTTAATTAGATCACACTCACTACTGAGTGAAGAACTTCCATTAAACTTCCATTAAAAAGCTTAGGGTTGAAAGCAGGAAGAATATTTAGCAGGTTACTGCAGTTAACCAAAGGAGAGAAGATGGGGCTTAGACTAGCAAGGTACCAGTTGATGTGTTAAAATTTTTAAAAAAGAATCTCAATCGGAAACCAGCAGTTAGCGTAATGGCTATGTCACT